CGGAGCGACCGCCCGATCGTCGGGATTCGTGCGAATGCGCGAAAGAGCGAGCTCTCGACTCTCCCATGTATCCGGCGTGAGAATCCGAACCAGCTGGTGCGCTCGGCCGGTGCTCTCTCGGGCACAATGGGTGCTCTCGTGGGGCCACGAATCTCGTCTCGACACACGAGAGCTACGAAACGGAGCCGAGCAAGCGAGTAAGCGAGCAACCAGCCGGGCAAGGCGAAACGAAGCAAGGCAGCCGGCCGGCCGTCCTTCCGTGCGCAGTGAAATTTAAATGAGCGCTCCCGGCTGCTCGGTATGTGTACGTATGTATGTGTACGTGTGCCTCCCTTCACGAAACTTTCATATCGCATTCTCGCGCGATTCGACCTTTCGTTTAAGAGACGACGTCCGTCCCGGCGCGCCGCGGTGATGCTTGAACGAGAAGGGGGGCTGTTCGGGGGGCCCCTATGGCCTCGATACGTGAATGCCCGTGAGAGAAGTCCTCTCTCTCTCTCTCTCTCCTCTTCCATCACCTCCTCTCCTCCCCCCTTCTTCGGTACTCGAGCAATATTACGTACGCTGGCATCGCGTGTGTCTCGTCATCGTCATAATCGCCGTCGTTCCGTCGACGCGAGCGTCGTCTTCTCACCACGTGGAGCAGAACGTTCCGATGAACCGATTCCCCGCTCAACGGCTCCGGGTTAGGTCCGGGTGATACGGGGGGATACCCGTTCGTTTTTTTTACGACGCGACACACGATCGCGGATAAAGCCGCGGATCTTCGCCCGGAGCGCGGCGGTCCCCCTGATTCTCTTGAACACAGCGTGCTGTATCACAATGTTGTAACAGCCGTGGGTTACACGCATCATTGATCGAAGTGTAATTATGTATTGTATAATCTAAACACACATGTGAATATACGAAATTATACGATACGTAGATTCAAGTAGTCCGCGGCGAGAAATCTCGACGTCGGTCGTTCGCGCTGCCAATTACCAAACACTCCGATGACGTTGCGCCCCGACGTGCACTCGCAATTGATAACGAAGGTTATGCGCGGCTCCCGTAAAAGCAAAAGGAGAGAAAAATAGGAAGAAGAAGAAGGAGGAGAGGAGATTCCGCGTGTGCGAGAGGCGGTGTGGCGAAATAAAAGGAAGGAGGAGTGGAGAACGCGCGCGAAAGGGAAGGACGAGACAAGGGGAACGGGGGGGGGGGGAGCTCGACGCGCGGGGGTATACGTGAAGTTGCGAAATGGTCAGTCGCGCTCGACTGCCTCTCGATGAAATTGAATCGCGAAAAAAGGCCGTTCGGTGGCCGAGCGAGCGCGCTTGCGTCAATCGCAGTTAATTCCCCGCGCGGCGCCCCGTCGAAGCTCTAATTTACTTTCAATTAACTCGCTAACGAGACGTATATCGGGCGTCCGGCCGCGATTGTCGTCGTTATATCCCTCTTCTTCTCTCTCCCTTTCCCCCTCCCGCCAAACCCGCGGTCTTGGACCTCGAGCGATCGTGCCGTCGAATTCGTTGAAATTTCGTCAGGAACTTCTCTCTCGGCTGGATCCACTCACTCTTCGATGTACGGTCGGCGCTACGTCGTTATTAGCTCATTTATATCCCGCGTAGAAATTTTCCCAGATTTTCCCCCATATACACACGGGAAAATAATGTTCTTAAATCAATGAGAAATATTCTCATGTATAAGCAAGTATATTGTAATATTCTTTGAAGATTTCTAGTCTTGAATTGAGTGCAAATAATACTTGCGTAAATACAAATTCTTCCATCAAATCAAGATTAAATATCTTCAATGAAGATTATAAGATTATATTCCTGCTTGTGTATGAGAATATCTGTCATTGATTTAAGACTAATTTTTTTTTCATGCAGCACAAATTCCGAGAGATTAGAATATTCAAAGTTTCTAAAATAAGTTATCCCACTACGACACTAATTGAAAATACCATTCTTATACCGAACATGGGATGAACTTTCGTTTCCGCGATGTTAATTGGCTGGTATGCTACGGTATCGTTTCGACTATCATTAATAGAGTCGAATGTGAATGATGGTTTGATACTAGATTAAAAGATTAACCCCAGCTAGCCACATTTATTTTCGAGTCTCTAATTCGCCGCACTCCGGTTTTCGTGAGAGACCGCTCGCAAGACTTTGTCGTCTTGTTATTTTCATACATAAGTAATATTTTTAACTTGTAATGCGGGAATTGGAAATATAGAGTCTGAGTAAAAATGTTCATGATATCAGGGCAAAAAATTTACTTGGTTTCAAACTAAAGTTATTATTACGAGAGAAAGGATGCTTTCGATGAAAAATTCTCAAATGGTTTTGCAAACGCAATTTAAGGAGAAATAATGTGTAATTACGTATTATATAACCGACACCTGATACTTTAAGAAGAAAGATAGTGTGCCATGTGAAAGCTAGAAAACCGAAAAACGCGTTCAGCGGTCCACTGAACCGGAATACGGCGAGCTAGGGTTAATAAACGGCGTGGCGTGTGTACTTGTAAAACGCGAATACTTCAACTTTCGTGCATCTACTTTTTGGTCGATCGATAGTATAAAATGGAAATCAGAAACAATCTTTGGGAAAACGTTGAGAGTGGCCAAATAGAATCTTCGCTTACGTTTCCCGCTTAGAATCGCATGTTTGAAACATTACATTTCTAGTCGGAGAACCTGCGTGGATTTCCCAGCTGGATTCATAATCATTTTGAGAAATCGGACTGGGATCCCAATTAGATCCCGAGAAATTTTCTATCTACGGGATCCAAGGTGGCTATTAGCCAGTCGTTACGCGTATAATGCGCCATTATGCGGACGAGAAACGCGTACGTTCGATGTGCATGTGATGTGTCGATCGACGTCGGTCGTCGCCGGTGTGATTGAATCTCATCCCTTTCTTTTCCCTCGCTTTTCCCGCAGCGAGCGACGTTGCGTTTTATCCCGGGAGATGCGAAACAGAATTATCACGCGCTTCTATATTGATTTTATCGACGGACGTACGAAAGGACAAGTCTGATCGGGATCTCGATACTATCACGCGAATCAACGTCGCTACATTTCGATCGTTCCTCGTAAAGAAATACCGCAAAAAAAAGTGCTGCTCGGGAAACTGCATTCCTCGAAGGGGTTAAAAACCAACGAAACGAGCCCAATCTCGCTTACGCCGCGATATCCCTCCGTGGTCCCGTGCACTTTTGCCGCACTATCGATCCGCGATCGCTCGAGTTCCTTTTAATCCCCTCGTCGGAAATGTCACCGTCGTGCCGACTACGAGAGACGATCCGATTAAGATCTACTTACTTCTGAATATACTCGCCGGCATTATCTCCTCGCTCTTTCGGTCACTGCTCGGCGTCATCGTCGTCGGCAATCGATACCGCCGCAACGCGAATCCTCCTCTCGCTAATTCCGCAAACGGTCTTTCGCGTTCTCGTTACGCAATGGTCGCTCGTCTCTCTCTCTCTTTCTCTCTGTCGGGACCTATTTCGTGATCTATTTCGTGTTTCGAGAAGTGTAAGTCAGATACACGTGCCGCATTCGCCATGGTCGGAACAGAACGGGGGTGCGACGTTCTTCCGTCTGTTCGCTCGTGTACCCGTCGTACCCGTGTTATCGTCGACGGCCCGATAAGCGGCGCGTTATCGCGAGCGTATTCGAGTCCGTGTAATCGGTCCCGTAAAACGAACGAGTGTTACCGGTTCGCTTATTAAGCAACAACCGAGTCAACGAGCCCCTCCTCGTCGTTTTACGCGCTGCTTCTTGTATCTAGGTTAATATTTAAATATAGACGCTACAATTCCATCCGCTCCGAGCCGACCCGCAGGTACTCGACGCCGATCGCGTCGGTATTTTATTCGTTCCAGCGTGTGTTAATGTCGAGACGCTAACGTGGCAATTAAGATCAAACGATGGGTTCTCGAATGGGAACATTTCTCCCGGAATTGAGAATCTCTCTCTCTTAACAATTTGTTGGGTGCAAACTGAGCTTGAGGAAATGTGATCTTCTAACTTGCAGGCATGGGGGTGACTTCACTTTTCTCACTTCTCCTTACTTATTGCGAAACGTATCACTTTTTCTCACCTCAAAGAAAAAAAAAACTCGTTTTGCTCGTTTTTGCTCACTTGACTTGCTCTTTTAAAAAGAGAAAAAAAGTCGATCGCAAGAAATAACTTTCAATAACTAGTTCAATAACTAATTTCTCTAAAAGCAATTGCTTTTCTTTTCTTACAGAAATTGTCTTAAGCTGTTAGTGTATACTGATTTTGCCTGAAATTTAGCCATTTACTTGATTTATTGATACTATATCGTATTTTGAAAACATGTTTAAGCACTAATGAGTGCGAAACCCGAGACTCCGCGTCGATCGTATTTTGAAAACATGTTTAAGCACTAATGAGTGCGGAACCCGAGACTCTGCGTCGTGAGTCAATCAATTTCGATACTACATCACTTCGTCGAGTGATATAAACGTATTTCGTATCGTCTATTTATGATACAACCAACACAGCTTAACTAATCTTAGCTGTCGGTGCTAATATAATTTCAGTTAATAAAATTACAGTTCGCAGCACATATGTCTTATACTCTAATAACCAACTTTTAGCAATGACAGCAAAGCTAATGAGGTTTAGCTGTTATTACCGAACCATTTCTCTGAATGTGCGATAGAATCGAGAGAATGAGAGAGAAATCGAAGGATAAGATTGACGAACCATGTACCAAATAGATAAACCAAATGGATATTAAGTAGATAGATGTTAAATAACTAAACGGACAGATACATAGGTGGGTACTCCGTGTACCCGGCGGATACATAGTATATATGTAATATGTACTACTCGCTGCAGGAGAAAAGTGACGGTAGACGTGCGTGCGTGCGTGCGTGCGTGTCTCTCAACGATGGACGCGCGGCGACAGTCCTCTCGTTTCGTAATTTAATGCGACCTTATTAAGAGGACGACCACTAACTGCTCTGTGTTCTGATTTCAGCGGCTCTGTTTTCCATCCCTCGACGGCCATGAGTCCTCCTTCACGTTCAGCCTCTCCGGCAACCAGGACATCGAGGGTCCTTCGGGCGGCTTCGAGTGTATCCAGCAAACCGGCGCTAAGTACGTATCTTCGCGTCGCACGTGCGCCTTCGCACACGCGCTACGAGTCTCTCTCTCTCTCTCTCTCTCTGATTAGACTCAACTTTGATACCCGAGTCGCGCGTCTCGACGCACGCCACCGTGCGTCATTGCCGATGTTTGCCCTCCCCGTCTTTACTCCCTTACTTTTTCCCTTCCGTTTCTCTTCAATCGTGTATCTTCGGCGGAATGTTACCCGAATGCGATATTCAGACGCGATGATATCGTTTCGATATCGAGTTTTTACGCGCTCTTTACATCCGGCGGATATGGAATACACCGCGCGAGTGCTCGGGTAACACGAGGAAGCGATCGAAGTTGCAGTTGACGCACTAAACATTGGCCGTTACTCGCCGGATCGAAATCTCTCGGTATTATTACGCGGCGATAGTCGTAGGAAGTGTCGTGTATCATCACGGTGACTATCGGATAGCGGAGAAACGATCTCTCGTAGACTACTCCCCGGCCGCGCGGTATGGCGGTAGTAATCTCGAATGACTCCCCTCTCTCTCTCTCTTTTCTTCTCTCTTTCTTTCTTTCTCCCAGGTCTCGTAAGCGGCACAGGTAATTTCCTATCTGAACCGAGCGACGTAAAAAACTCTCTCGGGGAAGCATCCTTGAAGAGCAGGTGGTACTATCGCGGCGGCAACTTGACACACTAAAACGCGCTGTTAGCGCGCCGCTAGCAGGTGTTGACTGCTCGCGAACGCTGCAGCCGTGAACGGTTATGCTTGAGTCAGCAGAACCGATTCAGCGGCAAGTAGCGCGACTACTAATGCCACTGTATCGGCGACGTCGACACGCCGACAATCGTACCCCTATTAAGCTGGACCCCCCACCATCGGAAATCGAGTTCGCACTAAAGCAAAAATTTACTGCTATTTATGCGCCAATTAGTTGTAATCGTGATTTTGTTGCTCCAGCAAACGAAATTACCCGAATCGAAATTTCAGTTCTACCTTAAGTCTATTTAATTCTTCATCGAGTCTTCAAAAGTCTTCTATTGTGTGTTCCCTTTGCTACAAATGGGAAGTTATTTCCCGTCTTGTCCGCTTGAAGATATAGTGTAGAACCAAGTCGACTTAATGTAAGAACGAAACTTTCGACTCGGGTAACGAGAGACCGATCGGCCTTAACCGGTCGCTCATTTCCGTTTCTTTCCCGCAGGAATCTGGAGAGCCTCGGCAACATTCCGTACAAAATGCGGATACACGCGAACGACGACGTGTACGAGACCACCAGGCACAGGATGGTGATCGCCGAGGAGAACAACAAGAATAAATGGTGAGTCCATTCGTTTCCATCGATCCTTACGACGCACGGCACGAGGGGAGAAGAAGATCCTTCTTTCGGGAAAGCGAAGCGAGCTGTCCCACCCACCTCCCGTATCCCGAGACTTTCCTCCCGCGAGCGCGCGAGACCGCCTCGCGGAATCGTAAATAATGCTCGTCCCGCGGCCGTTACTTTTACAAACTTTCGCCCGGAGATACGGTCTCGGATGTGTTCGCAGCGATTTGCGCTGGAATTTACGAGGCGATGCCGCGAACGAGCGAGCGGCCGCGGCGAGAACTCGCGGAAAATTGCAAACGCGACGGACCGACGCTTTTCCAGTCGAACGTTGTGTCGTGTGCGCGTCGTCGCCCATGACCACGATACACTCGGTTTTCTCTTAAATCGAAAGAGAGTATATCCAGGTATCTATCTCCCGGCGGCAGTCGGCTCTCGAAGGATCCGCGGACGCGTGGAAAATACGTTTACGTTCGACGAGAACGAGTTTTCGCGTCTCTCCGCGTTCGGTAGAGCGGATATCGCGTTTATTAACCGCCGGCGCACCGACAGGGTTCATTGAATCCCCATTTTAGTATTCGGATTTTGCTTTCGAACGGTTTTGCACGGTTCGAACTATTTGTAAAGGTTGATATTTTGGGACTTTTATATTCTTTCTCAAGGAGCCCGTCAAGCCATTTTCTTAGGAATTCTTTGGAATTTTAGCTGTATATTGATGGAGATACATCCATCTACTTTAAAACAAAGACTTAGTAACAAGTACTGAAATTTGGTGAATATTTGCCGACCAAATATATCATTATTACAATCAAATGATTTAATTCCGTGCACGAAATATATAATATACGGAATTACAGTACTGTACAGTCATATATGCAGTATATGGAACTAAATTATTTGGTTGCAATAATCTAATATTTGGTCGGCAAATATTCACCAAATTTTAGTAGTCATTACCAAATCCTCTTTTCAGTACACGTCTGTACGTCTGTAAAATTAGAATACGATCGACTGTTCGGAAACTGAGATATTCGTAACTGAAGATGACACTTTTTATACGCATTCCTTCATGGAAAAAAGAAGTAGTCTCCACAACTAAAAACTATGTAGTTTCTACGGGTAAAATTTAGCTGTTCACGTGATATAACTGAAATTTAGTTAATTTAGCTAATTTTTTGATCTTTGTATCTAATTTTTAGCTGACATGGCTAAAAATTGTGTCTGTTAATTAAGTTTCAATTATATTATATGGACAACCTGCTGTGATATTAAGGACTGAGATATTATAGAAAAATTTCACAATTATTGGCCATTTTGTTATGAAAATGTAGTCATAGGAAATTTACCATTTATAATAATACCCGCGATATATGTACATGTACATATATTTAAATATTTAGGTGTCACTTTCTATTATGTGTGCATCTTCATTATCTCAACCGATGACACATAAATAAAACATTAATGAGAAAAAAAATATTATCACCTGTGTTTATTAATATTGTGCGCATATTTGCCTTAATCTCGCGCTTAAAATTAACATTTATCACATAGATAGTTAACTAAAATTATAGGAAAGTTTTTTTTTTTCAGTGAGTGTTTCTTCAGTAAATTCATATATTCTTTAATATCGCCACTGAAAATCCAGCATTCCACCTTAACCAGTTAACTGTGGCGATCTCTTTGCAAAGCGCCCACCAGTGTGTGTCGCGATAATCAAGCGAGTTAGCTCTCAGGAAGTTATAAATCCAACTCAAATTATTTATAATTTTCATTTGTTTGTTTCATTTCGTCTTGACCCCTAAACATTTTACCCATATTAAAATTTACGAATATAATTTAGTTTTCGCCAGAATTACAATTAAATATCAAATTGTAACAAAATTTTACGCATGACGGATATAGTCGTCATGACACAAGATTCTGCCACATCTCCATGACGGATATAGTCGTCAAACACTTAACTGGTTAAAAGCACCTTCTAAAAAAGAACAAGAAAAGAATTATATTTATATACATACTTATTAATCTTGCATGAAGAAAAAGCCTGTACTTCGAATTTTGAATCTCTCGAAATCGAATCTCTCGAAGTGACGACTTCTCAGACCGTATCGACACAACGTACGTTCGTTACCGCTCACTTTATCCGCGCTGTTTATTACAAGATGATTCTATTATCTCTCCTGGAACGTGGATAAAAGCGCCCGATCTAAATTCTCCCTATAAATAAAACCGGAGCTCCGACTTGTAGCATCAGCCTCGCGCGATGCTCGAGATGCACGCGAGGTTCTTCGCGCCTCTCGCTCGGCCGCGTCGACGGCGTAGCTAATTTGTTTAGCGTCGTCATGGCCAAGGTTAAGAACGTCTCACAAGTGCGACTTCGTCACGCCTGAACCCTTTTTCGCCTCTTCTCAGCGCGCGTCGCCCGGTGCTTAATCGGCCGGTGATTCGCGCCGGCGGAAAATTACGTAACCCCGATCTCAGTCGATCGATCGGTCGGTCGGTCGGATCTCACGCGTCAGCTACGCGTGGTAAAATCGCATTAATTGCGCCGCCGATCTCGCGATGACGACGACCACCACGACGATGCTGTTGCGTTGTATTGTGTAGAGGCCGACGCGTTCGGTATACGTAAATACACCGAGCTCAATTAGAAATCGCTGGTGTGTCCGTTCCTGACGGCGTTTTATTCCTCTTTCGTGTGACGCAACGGGAAATCGCTCGGTGTTTACGCGCGACGGATGAAAAATAAACGCGCGGCGAGTTATTTCGTACGATTAGAATTTATTACAAAGCACATGTACACACACCGTCTCGCGCTCTCAACTCGGCGGAACTCAGCGAGCGTTAACTTCTCATCGCCCGATCATATCTCGTCCTGGCTCTCGATCATTGTCCATTTCCACGAGCAGCTCCACACGTTTTCTACATTAATAAACAAATAAATGTACACTGTAGGAAATACATAAAATTATTCTTACCGTCTCTGAGAGCCCGCTTGAATTTAATACGATTATTTACAGATTATTACAAGATGAATGCTTTTCACGTCGTATGATTCATAGCTGTTATTATCTGCGTAATTAAATTATCTGAATTTTGGTTGTGTTTTTACATTCTATCCTAACGCGCTCCGTCCTCCGGCGCCATCTGATCAAATAAATCCACCGTGTGCGGCACGCCTTGCGGGGTGTACGCAATGTGGAGCGAGTGCACTGGAATTTCATGAGGATTAATATGTACGTACGTTTCAATGGGACATTGTATCGCTTGCAGCACGCGGGTGATCAAGGCGAATGGTCCAAACATCGGGCGCAAGGTGAAAGTGCCTGTAACCGGAAGGACGATACCTCCTCCGTCGAACGCGAGGCATCGGGAATCGTCGTCCCCCGCCAGTCAGCCCAAGCGATCTCCTTCCTACCGGCCAACCACCAACAACTTGCCGGAGAAGAAGATCAGCGACCTCATGCGCAGGCCTCTCAAGTAATTATATTTAAGAGCATACATCCGTGGCCTTATCATAGTAATTACGCATATTATCTCTAGACGGACTGAAAAGTAATTTAAATCTCATCAAGTCACATGTACAATTTACTTCGATCAGTCCTTCGATCGATAATTAAGTAGACGCGATTGAAATCTCATGACTTACCTCTTCGCTCTGCCGCACGCGCGTTGTTATTTATATTCGACTAATTATCGGTACTACCTTGATAATTTCGTTAATATGTCAAATATATGTAGATACACGGAGAGAAATAATTTGCTGGCAGAGCAAATTTTATACCGTCGCAGTCAAATCTGTCGGTTACCGTCGTGCGGGTAGCGAAAGGATTTGTTAAGAGTGCTAATTGCCATTCGCTACATATATTTTGCTGTAAGAACAAATTAATAAATATGGGAAAACACTATTTTGTTCCAAATTAAATATGTTCCTAAGGAAAAAATTTACTCAGCGGAAAATTCCTCTGTTCTGGCAACGAAAATGTTTCTGCTTTAATTACATCGCTGTCGAATTCGAATAATTCGCTGATTTCACCACGCCAATTAAGTTTTATCGCTGTCGCAACAAATATGCAGTAACCAACGATGGTTTTACTGCAACGGCAACATTATTTTTCTCCGTGTATGTATATGCATGTTTATATATTTATATATTTGTTTATAAAATATATACAATGCAATTGTTAAAAGACACTCGTCACTCGTGTTCGTCGGCTAAATAAACATGTGTGTTACGTTCGACAGGGAAAGGCTGATCCATCTTCTCGCTTTGAGGCCGTTCAAGAGACCCGAGCTCTACGATCGCATCAACAAAGGTGAGAGCCACGACCAGATCCTGAGATGGATAATGCATTCTCTCTCTCTCTCTCTCTCTTGGTCTTTTGCATTAAAATAATCTCTAACCGATACCGATCCGCCAAATTACAGAGGGCATGCGGGAGCGAGAGAAGCCCATCGTGACGACGCTCTTGCGGCAGGTGGCCTGCATGCGCGACAACTCGTATCACCTGCACAGGCACATCTGGAACGACGTGCAGGAGGACTGGCCGTTCTACACCGAGCAGGAGAGGGCCATTCTCAGGCGACGGAAACCCCAGAACCTCACCCCGCCCGGTTCCAGCGACGGATCAACTGGTACATCTTCCACACGACAGTACTTACTTTTAGGTCTGGTTGTTCCACCTTCGGATAAATTTATCTAATGGATAAATATATAAAGATCGTTTCCCGTGCTGAAATAAATGACAAGAATATACGAAAAATATTACTGCTATATTATTCTTCAATGGTATGCTAACCATTTTCTCGTACTTTCTTGTAGTTTATTCCCGTATGGGAACGTCCTTCAGATATTTGCCCGTTAGATAAATTTATCCGAAAGTGGAACGATTAATCTTTAGACGAAACCGTGTCGATCATCACCGGGCTTTACCACTGCTGTATCGTTTGGGATCACCATTTACAGGCAGCGGCCAATCGCCGAATTCCATCCAGCCGGGCTCACCGCCCGCCATCACGGCGCCACCCCCGTCGCTGTTGGGCAACAAGAGGCCGGGCTACTACCAGGGTAACGACGGCCTGCAGACGAAGAAGCCACGGATATCCCACTACCGGAAATCGGAGACCAACAGCTCGTCGAACGCCAGCGGCGAGAGCGGGAGGAGGACGACGGCCAGTAGCGACGGCGGCAGCGGCGTCAGTCCGACCGCCGGCGGCGTCGTCCTCGGCGGCGGTAGTAGTAATAATAGTGCAAATGGCAGTGCTGGCGGCTCCAGCTGGGACCACAAAAGGCAACAGCAGCGTGAACGTCGCGGTGATTGCCGGCCCGAAAGAACAGCGAACAGTGATGTGCCGCGAGGTGGGATCGGCTACAGCAGCGGTGGCGGCCGATCGTGCCAAGCGTCGCCCAGTGACAACGGCCAGGGCGTCGGTTACGGGCGCGGTGGTGACAGTGCCGTCGCGACGGCCGGCGGCGGCTCGTTGGGCGCGCTGCCGTCCGACAGCCATAATTCCCACAGTAGTCCAGCCTACAGCAGCAGCCTCGGCGGCGGCAACAGCGCGGTGATCGTCGGCGGGGACCGACATTATTACTCTGGCCGGTCGTCGGCGACGGCGGTCAGCGGTGGTGACAACAGTGCCTGTGGTGGTGCGGGTGTGGACAGTGCCGCGCGTTTCGCGCCGAGTGGTGCGAGGAGTGATAACGTTAATGTTAATAATATCACTGGCAATCGTCACGGCGGCAGCCCGAGCAGCGGCGTGAGCGCCGACAGGAGGGACAGAAGCGACAGGAGTCGGACGGTCGTGAAGGAAGATAATAAGGACTGCTGGCCTTGGACGATGGGAGGTGGTGATAGTGCGAACGGTATAACGGCGAACGCCTTCAGCGTCCACGCCGATATCAGCTCCGGCAGCGCGCACTGCGACCTCCCGATCATCGAGGACAGCTCGGCGAGTCCGGGGGCTCTGGAGGGTAACCTTCAAGCGGCTACGGACCCTCTGGCGTTGGGGAGTCCCATGACTCTGGACAGCTCCCAACTCCCCAACTACCTCACGTTAGTATATCTCAGGCATGTTGCATCGTCGATTGCTTGTCGTAGCATCGATTGCTGTAACCTCCATCAGAATGAAGTATAAATTCCAAATTATCGACGAACCGAGGTTTCAGCAAATCTGTTTTTAGGTGGTGGCGAGCGAATCCATATACATTAAGTATACCGTATTACGAGGCGATCATGTCATATTTGTCTAGGTACTACACGACAATAACCAACCTGGAGCAAAGGCGACGTTACAAAGTAGCGTTCAATGCGCACTATGAGGAGTACCGAAGGCTGCACGCGCTAGTCGTCGCGGTCTCCCAGCGCTTCTCGCAATTGTACGAGCGAATGACTGAGCAGGCGAACTTGGGCAACTCGAGCGAATGTCAGGTATTGCGTCTCTCCTTCTTTTAAATCAGCATTAGAGCTCAGACACGATGAGAGGAATAAGGAACAAGAAATTAAATTTCGACCTATGCTTCAACCTACTGCAATAAAGGGACAGAGAGCTAGGATGAGGAGGACACTGTCGAAATTCTATTCCTTATAATTTGAGAACTTGTTGGCCTTAGTAGGTGGCTGAATGTTAACCTTTAAAATATCTAATGGCCATCAATATGCAAATGGAAATCAGTTTGAATCAATTGATAATTATCAGGAAAATGATGAAAGTGTCAATATCGGCATTAGAGTTCATTAGGGAACGGTAAAGATGGCGTGATCTCGTCTTAAAGCGTTATTATATCTTATTCTCTGTTCCTTTGATTGTGTTTTAAACTAGGGATTATTCCTAATTTCTTGTAATTAATTCCTTATTTCTTATTCCTTTCGTTGTGTCTGAGTCTTATGAGCTGTGTTTCGTAAAAATCCAACGTCTTTTTTTTCCCCCTTTTTTTTCTTGTTTTTATTATTATTCTTGTTGAATGCTCTTGAAATGCAGAGCACTAGAATGAAAATAAACCTTATTATCCCTCTCTTTCTCTCTCTTGCGGATCGTCCATCGGATAATCGCTGAAGCCACGCCTCCGTTTATCGTTTTCAGCGACTAAAGCAGCAGATCTTGATGGAGTACCAGGAGAAGAGGAATGATATCGCACACATAGAAGTTAGGAGGCGGTTCAACTACCTGCACCTCAAGCTGACCCACATAAAACAACTGGTCAACGACTACGACGCGCAGAACTTCAGCGAAAACGCGGAGACGACGCCGAACGTTTGCAGCAACGAGAGCAAGGACTTCGACAGCCGGCACTACTGACACAAACTTATTAAACGGCTGCCTCTCGTTCCCTGCCTTCTCTCGGTTGTCGACACGCTGCCGTCAACATCGCCAAGGAAACTGTGCTTCCTAGGCATGTTCCAAGGCTGACTCGTCTCACGGTCCACATGGTTCCTGGGTTCCATCGCCGAATGGTATCAAGCGCATCCGGTCCGTCGCCCGGGCCCGGCGAGTTCGTTCTCACAAGTGTATCGCACGAGATACACTGCCTGCCTGCCTATCTGCCTGCCTGCCTGCCTACCTGCCTGCCTGCCTGCCTGCTGACCCTCCACAAGATTTGACCCTCCGTCGTCAAGTTCTCGATCAAGATCGGCCCACGAGATTCTCGTCGCAGCGTTGCTGCTCGGTGCGTCGTTTCTGTTTGTTCACACCATAATAGTACGATAATTAGCTGTATTAATTTAATTATCCATAGCTTTAACACACAAGTACTTCGCTATGTGAATTGTCGTGCACTGAGATACAGCGAGGCTCTCGTACAGTCCCAATTGCGGTGATCCTCTCGCCCTTCGAAACGAGAGGTAATTACCGCGTTATGTGCAAATAACGCTCTTTCTTTCGTTTGATCCCTTTTAAACTTATTAACATGCCTTTCAATTGTGATTGTTTTCTTTTATTCATTGTATGTGTCATGCACCGTTACGCGCGAAAATTGACAAATACATATTCTCTTCGGTACGCAGGTGAATCCAGGAAAGATTTTTTTCTTTTTTAAAACTGATCTCTCAGAGAAGAACGCGCCACGACGGTGCATTATGTGTGCGAGATACATAGGAACGGCTATATCTTAGTGCACGACGCCACAGGCAACAACCGGGAAAACCTGAGTATTCGTGCAATGTATCCTTTTTTTTTTTTTCCATTATTATTCTGTTGAACAATTTCGACGCGATTGCGACCGAGTATGCGATGCGACGGAATTTTCGAGTCGAGCATCCTGACGCTCGCATCAATGCCGAAGATCACACGACGCCGAATCGTCCAGTGGCTTATATCCCCTTATCACCCGTTTCACTAGAGACTATCATTGTGCGAAATGTTCGTTCGACCGTCGGTACGTTAATTAATTAAATAAATACGAATTGATAATTGCTCCTGCATGCCCCCCCAATTATATACTCGCGACGTCGGTTGCAGATTGATTTTCGCCGCCTCTTTTACAACTCGATTCGGACTCGCAAAATTGTATTTCGACAACTATGGCTCGCGGGACTTTCACGCGCGTCAACCACGACAGTAGAAATCAGCGTTTCTACTTTTCCCTTTCTTTTCAGTTCCCTCTTCTTCCCGATGCTCGTTGTTTTATTCCACGCTCGTAGAAGATCAGATCGGCGCACATCGCGCCGGCAAACATCGTAAGAATTCCAAGCGTCAGCGCGTCAGCTCCGCAAGGCCTGCGTCTGACTTACTTTTTGTTTTCTTCTTTTTTTTTTAACAATTGACAGACTGAGCATTTTTTTATGTTTTAAACGAGTGTGTACTTTCGACGCGCGGCGTTGTTGCTCCCCCCCCCCAGCCCCCTGCTGCTCCGACAGTGCTAACGTTTGTTTCTCGTTGCGCTTTCCACGACTCGTTCGCGCCATCCCGTCGAGCCTCGGGCGCTGCGAGGAGACGCGCTGGTGGCGCGATGGTGTCGATCGGATGACGCGAGGTACTTAGGAAAATTCTTCGGTGCGATTCGGCGGCACGAACGATGCCACGATGAAACGTGGTCGACCGATCGATCGTTCGCGAAAACGTCCGGCGAAAAAAAAAATAAAAATAGAAAACCACGTACGATGGCGACTTTTCTAATGATAATCTTTTTGTACACGCGAATTCAATCATCGACGAGCTTCGATCGGGCGGAAATGCCCGGCGCCTCTGCTGTTTTATCGTGCATCGTTGCTCACACGCTCGTGAGATTCCGACGGTTTTCCCTTGAAGCACGTCTTCTCCGAGCGCATTTCGAATTGTCGCACGACCATCGCCGCGAACGGTAGCAACGACAGCGCGCGCAGGAGGGTTTAGAATTGTTGCTTAACGAGTTATGTTCCTCTCTTCTTGTTTACTTTTTTTTTTTTTT